TCTCTAATTAGTCTGGAAACGGGGGACCTAATTCTTGCATTCTGTGAAAACGGGTAAGATTAGCTATAATGTAATTATCTTAATCTTCACTATCGTTACTTTTTGCCTAGCGAAGCGAGTCCTTGCAGCTAGATTCTAGATTACTTAAAAAAACAGTTTTATATATATATATATATAAAACTATATTACATACTGTACAAATAAAAACCCAGCGAAGCTGGTCCTTGCAGCTAGTTTTGTAAATAGAAAGTTTAGTTCCAAATTTTTTCTATAGGGAAAATTCTGTGAAATTTGCATCTGGGGTGCATATATAATGGAGTTTCGAGCCGCACGTCATACAGAAATAACGTTATGTTTCGTATCACGTAATTCATCTCTTTAATACGATCTGATTTTCGTGATAAACCAAACCTGAGGTATTCACTGGATAAGGCATTAAATGGAAAAAGTTAATTCGAAATTTAATATCTATTAAAAGTGGAAATCTTCATGGAAAGCCTTAATCCTGTCCCTCTCTCCCACAGGCAGAATTTCGAAAAATCCCTTCTTAGTGTACATTCTCGTGACGTACCCTATTAAGGGTAACTGGCTCCTATTTATGCGTTACAGACGTGAAGAAAACCCGAAAACCTTCTCTCCAGTTACAAATTTACGACCGAACTCACAGTATTCGGGGAACGGAAACACTTTGCCATTAGTGGGCAGGGCATGTTTTAGTAAGTCAATTATGGTTTCGGGCAAGACCACAACGGGGCGGAAGCACGGGGCCCGACATATCAGGACTGACCACCACCTAAAAATTTCCTGAGGCTTTTCCCACTCGTCTAGATCCCAGTTCCTCAGAGCAGCAGGATAAATTCAATAAAACTCAAGCCCTTCTGGTTAAGAAAGGAATAATGACATACAAGTTTGGAATGATCGAGACAACTGTTTTTTTCGTAAACTGCATACAGAAATGGCTCGTCGGTAAGCCCGATACTAAATTCTTGCGAAAAATTTTTATCGACTCCATTCAAAATGATTAGGAAATTTTGGAATATCTCCGGAACGGATCATAAGATCCTAAAACAAAAGGCTTATTGCACATCTGAAGACCCATCCCTATCTATCAACACTTAAAATAATATTTAATAAATTAACACAATTGTGAACAAAAATTTTCAGTTAGAAATGAACCGTATAAATCAACTTCGTGTGACTAAAACAAAAACAGACTAAAAAATCGCATGTAAATCTAACTTGCGAATTATCTAGTGATGATTTTGGTGTCTAAATGCTCAATATAACACTGGCATGTGCATAAATTATTTCTTGCAAAATATAATTAGAGCTCAAAAAAAATATATTCAAAAAACGAAAATGTCGACTTTTGCCCGTTTGACGCTTAATAACAAAAATGTATTCAGACAATTTTTAGTGCTGTTTTTTTGTAATATAAAGCCAGACACTTGCTTTATATTTTAGCAGAGTTTGGTGAATTTCGGTTGAACCACGGAAAAGTTATCCGAGTTCAAAGAAAAAATAACCGAATTTATGACCTTAATCTTCACATGTTCGTAACTCGTTTGTGACATATTACTGCTCAAACTGCTCGCCCAGGCTAACTACATCGACAAACATCGTTTCCAGTTTCACGATTTAACATACTTTACTAATACATTTATAACAGTTATGACATATAATGCTGTTTTTGATACAATTAAATCACACACGGTACGAATGATAACAGAGTAAGATGAAATAAAATTATAAACATTACGATACCAACTAATGTTATCTTTTATATTTAAAAAGAAATACAGGATCGATGTTATTAGAAAAGTGATTAACAGATAACTTTTCGAGTAATTTTATTCTGTTTTTCTTTATAATTAATAGAAGTTTTTAAATTGCAAATGCCTGTAATGATATAATAAATTCATTTTAAATATATTGTATAACATAAAACCTTTTAGTTAAGAAGCAATAATTTATAATTTGTAGTAAAGTGTCACATTGAATCTGTTATAAATCGCTGAATGTTTAGATCCAGATTATTATTTTTTTTTGAACGATTGACAAATTATATAAACTAACTTAGATTGGACTTCGCTTCTATTTGCGAATAATTTACGCACGATATCTTGCAACACACACTCGAAAGGGTGAAAAACCTATCTTCGAAACGATTACTTTTCTATAAAATTCATCTCAATAAAGGATACTCGCAATTGAGTTAGTAGTTACACACTGGAATCATTTATTTCTATCTGAGTTTTGTGGTTTGATAGCCAGTACAATTCCGTTGTACTTATTTTTAATTACAATAACATCGTCTCCTTTCTCTCTCGGTCGATCATTCGAATATCAACACTAACAAAATCCCAAGAAATAGCGTGTTGAAAAAGATATTATAGCTGATACTTCTCTCTCGTAAGAAATACGGATGATTATGTTTGCTTGACTTTTCTGAGATAACAAAAAGTAAGTAGATTAACTTAGTTAATCGATGTTAATTAGATATTTGTTTTAGAAATCAGAATTCTTCGAGTCTAAGCCTTTTAATTTGATAATTACAATAGAATTAATACTCTTATATTAATCACGCTGGCAGCTTTCTAAGCTCGTTATAGCTTTTTCTTAAGTGAATTTACTCTGTTTAAATTAATTAATGCCTTGACATCCCCTTCGAAACTCGATCCTTCCATTGTAAACCTATGAAAAGATCATTTGTGATATGCAGTATCCAAACAAATAATGCAATATACTGTACCCTTACTGCGTTCATTTACTATATCATCGATGCAATGAATTTATACATTGAATTCCATTGATTTTATGGGAATGTGAGAGTCGAGCTATAATATATTATAATTAGTATAACTTCATTTTTTAGTAATTGCTAAAATATCGATTTTGTAGCAGTTTTACTATCGATTAATAAGTATATATCTAAGAATATATAATTTTATCGTTATACTTTTATCTTTTATAAAATTATTACATTTTATTTTATGACGAAATTTCGATATGCAATAATTACATTTGTTTCTTATCGTGACAATAGCACTATGAAGAATAGCAAAGAAAACGACTATCAACGTCAAATAAGAGTACTCACTTTTCTGATAGTTCTGCTTTATTTGATTGTTCTCGCTCAACCTTTTATCTTTATCTATTTACTTCAATATTTCAACATTCGAGTTGTTTCACCCGATATGGAAGAGCGCTTTATAAAGTCTGAGAAAACTAACGATAACGTCAATTATAACACTAGACCTCATCGTGTTGAAAAAAGAAAAATTTCGTCTGTACTTGAAAAAGAATGCGGAAATAATTGTCTTCTTCAATCTGAAATATGCGAAAAAGACGACGATTTGGTTACGCTGAATGGAAAGTGTAATATAAAAGTAGGTTTATTGTAAAATGTATATCGAATCATTTCGATTCAATTTACTGTAATTAAAGTTCTAAATGCTAACACTAAGTACTGTACATATCAACATATCACATTAAAAAAAGTAAAGAGATAGCAATAACAGTTACAACATCGAAAAATTGTTTATATTCTTTATTTAATTATATTTTCTCCAATTTTATGGATGCAGAAATTGATCTCTGCGAGTATTGTTTTACCGCCGATGACTTTTGTAAAAGAAACATAACAGGATTAAAAGGTACAGTAATTAAATGTATATATTATCATAGATTAGTTATACAATTAAATTTTAATCACATTAATTCTTTTGAAGGAAGAGCATAAACTTTTAGAATACTTTTTGGTTAATCCCAAGTAACAAAAAGCAACTCTGAAGAAAACAATTTTGGCTGTATGAATAATTTAGTAACAAACTTCACTCGACATTACACCCAATGAGACACACCACTATTAGAAATTTTAATAATTTAAATACAGATTTGTATTGCGCTTTCCGAGACATAGATTTTACTTGTTATACTTTAAAATTCTTACGATTAAAGTCTTTAAAGTTTGCATTTTTGAAGGAATAAAAAATTTGTCACACATTATGTACATATTTTATTAGCAGGAGAAAAAGAGAAAAAAAATTATAATTCAAAAAAAAAATGGACAAACCAAACGTGAAAAAATTTACTAAATTTATGACATATTTTTTACTCTCGTGAAAGAATGCTTGATACAGCATTTCAAACTTGAATTTTATACATAAATACGATTACTAATTTGATATTTTTGCTTTTTTTTTAGATTGCACTCTCGACAATATTACATATCATGGAACTTTTCCATTTACAAGATTTTATAAAGACGTTATATTTTCTTCAAGACAATTTGAAGAGGATTCCGAAGGCAGTTTGAAAATTTTGATAAAGGAAGAAGACAGGCCCATTTTAAAAGAATATAAATTACACAAAGACGAAAATTATGAATTGGTTAAGACAATTGCTTTACCTGACAGAACGAAAGATTTTGGATATATATACAATGGAAGTTATTACAGTCGACATCGTTACCAACACAAAGTCGTCAAATACAATTTTGAGACTGGGGAATCGACAACAGGAGAGAAACTCCGTCATATTCCAGGTTACGATGCCTTAGTATTCCGCTTAGACCAGAATTATATCTGGATATNGACAAATTTTTATATTCTCGTAAAAAAATGCTAGATACAGCATTTCAAACTTGAATTTTATACGTAAATGCGATTAATAATTTAATATTTTTTGTTCTTTTTTAGATTGCAGTCTCTTCAATATTACATATCATGGAACTTTTCCATTTAGAACATTTTATAAACACATTATATTTTCTTCAATACGATTTGAACAGGTTTCCGAAGGCAGTTTGAAAATTTTGATAAAGGAAGAAGGCAGGCCTATTATAAAAGAATATCAATTAAATAAAGACGGAAATTATGAATTGGATAAGACAATTGCTTTACCTGACAGAACGAAAGATTTTGGATATATATACAATGGAAGTTATTACAGTCGACATCGTTACCAACACAAAGTCGTCAAATACAATTTTGAGACTGGGGAATCGACAACAGGAGAGAAGCTCCGTCATATTCCAGCTTACGATNTATATATACAATGGAAGTTATTACAGTCGACATCGTTACCAACACAAAGTCGTCAAATACAATTTTGAGACTGGGGAATCGACAACAGGAGAGAAGCTCCGTCATATTCCAGCTTACGATGTCTTAGTATTCCACTTAGACCAGAATTATATCTGGATATTTAACTTAATAAATCTTACCTTGGATACTTATGAGGCTGTTCAAATCAATCCGGAAGATTTACAGGTTTTGTCGCAGCAAAATATCAAACCAAATTATTGTTTCATCAAATATCAATTCGTTGCTTTTGGCAAGGTTTATTGCCTTTATGATGGCGAGAAGTTGAAAGTTTATCTTTTGTCGGATTTTAACGAAAATAAAAATTCGCATATTACCGATAGTGAAGAAGTGTATACCGACAGAGAAGAAGAATTTCATATTATAAAACTGTTCTATAATTTTAAAGAAAGACAACTTTATCTAATTGATCGATCATATGTGACTAATAATTATACCATTCATAGTTACAAATTACGCTTCAATTGTCCATATGAAGAGTAAAAAGTTTCATCGTGTCATTCGTTATAATGATTCATTTCCTTATTAATTAATCTCCTTCAAATTATTTGAAGTGTCGAACAGTTTACATTTTTTAATAGTTTTGTATTACATTTCAATAAATGTTTTATTTTTTCTCGTGTGTCTGAATTACGAGACACCGAATGGGGCTACTAAATACGTTAAAGGGCATCAGACGTGTCGGACATTCGCGATAATTGTTGACAATTCTGGAAGATTAATTGTTGCATGTTGGGCATTAAAAAGTATTAAAATGTTTATCTTGTAATGCTTCCGAGAATGGCCTTTTTCATTCAATTGATATGATTTGAAAATCGTATCAATTCAATGAGAAAGGGCAGATCTCAGATCGTGTTTAATACATTTAAGAGAAGACAGATATTATATGTTTTTCACCTGTAGCCTGGAAGATTTCTAGTTCGTTTTCTAGATTATTGTAGTACTGTTGCTCTCTAGTATTCTTGATTTTTCTACTTCGACTGCTTTAATATAAACATCATAGCCCAATAATTCGGCAATTCGTTCGTCTTTAGTTAATTTAACAATCAGGTTATGAAGAAAAACTTCATTCATGCATACTTCACACTTATTCGTATTTTTGCCCAATTTGTACAACCTGGCATTACGCAGTTATTGAAGCTACTGGGCATGGTTATAAATTAAGGCAGCATAAGCACAATTATTCCTGATATTACAGGTAAAAAATTCTAATAGTCCTGCCACAAATAAGCTACGTATTGATTACTGACCATTTGTGACATGCCATAACGAGCAAAAATTAAAAACAAAAACTAATAAGTAGGTTCAAAATTAATAAATACAAATGTATTCTGATAGTTTATGAGTTAATTATTTTATTAAAGTTTATTATGACTTCTAAATACGTTACAATATCAGCTACATGCTGTAATATTTATACAGTAAAAATCTTTTTCTGTACATGTGATATTACCTTTCGGGTGAACATTTTCACCACTTTAAATTACATCTAGCTCACAACCCCTCTTGTTCAGTATTTACAAGTTTTAATTACATTATATACATATTGAGGGATTTGTGATAACATACAACTTTTTCCTCTACGCTTTTTAATATCTTATGTTTCGTTACATTTAAGTTTAATATTTTACATAGGCTTTACTAGTTGGACTCTTCTATATTTCATAAAAAATTAAAATACAGAGACTTATATATAATAGTATAACATTTTGAATTGTTGGGAGATTTTTAGACCGATATTCAACACTTACATATTTATTTATTATGAGAGGATTTACTCTCTCTTACATTTATGTAATTTATCTTGCAATACTGCACGATATAATTATCTTACTCGTTTTCTTTACTTTTATTTAGTAACAATTTTATTCTTTTATAATAACAGATATTAATATTTCAGGTATTATATTTATGAGTTAATTATACTTTCTATTTGCAAAAATAACCGCGTAAATATTATTATTATTATTAAGCAATTACAACAATTAGTTATCAGTGGTAATTGTTGCAAAGCAACGTTCTGAAATTTCTCTAACACTTTACAATGGCGTCTAGTGAAATACGCATTCGAAACCTACAAAAAGATGAAATCGTTGCTGCAGAAGATTACTTCGACAGAGTCATTACATACATCATGGAATACTTAATTACACGTCGAAGAAATTCAAAAGTTATTACAGTCGACCTCCCTAAACACAGTTGATTATTTTGTTTTATATGAATTCCATGTTTTACGAGTCACTTAGATTTTACAAATACGTTTGCCAGGCTGTGAACGGCTCACGTATTTGTAAAATATAATAAACATATTAGATTTTACAAATTCACATAAAACGAAATAATCTACAGTGTTATAGGGGGTCGACTGTACAATGCCATTTCCTATGGAAATCCTCAGACATTTCGTTGCCTGAATTTCTCGATTTTTTAAGGTTTTTCATGCCAGTTTCGTCAATTATGTTTCATGCTTTGTAGAAAGAGACGATCCGGGATTGACTTCTGTCACAAACGCTTTTCTTCTGTACGGAATGTGCAAGGCATGCGGGATAGAAAATTTACGACGAAAATGTAGAACATTAACTCATTTAGCAAATAACACTGCACAATCTGTGCTCCATTCACGATTTTTTGCGTGAAATCAACCTAGACATACAAGAAAGTATTCGGCATACACGAAGTGTTTAGCCGGCAGAAAAGAGTGTTAAGAGAAAGGGGAAGAAAAGAAAGAGAGAGAGGAGATAGACAGTAGAGAAAGGAAAGATTCCTCTGAACGGCGTACGTATGGCTACAGAACCCTCTATGTTTGATGTCGGCGTGCAGTTTTTAGGCTGCAAGGCCGTAGTTGCAATATTTTTATTCATATTTTTGACCGATCGCTATTCTTTCCCTCTTACAAGGGAAAGTAAAAAGTAACATTATTCAACAGAACAGAAATGAAGAAGGTACAGTTGACCTTCTCATATTATGAAAATGCAATAAATTACGTAAAATAATTAATGATTTAATCGTAAGTTGAGCAGAAGTTTTAGATTAATTTATTTGATATTATAAAATACAGTCGACCCTCCTATAAGATCATAGATACGTTCCTTTCTATAGAAATCCGATTTCTTACGAGTTTTTCCAATCACAGCCCGACACGTGTGAAATTTGCAGACTACGGCTGATTGAAAGGTTTTCTTCCATAAAATTTATCGATTCTAGACTAATCAGACTCAACATTTCCAAAATACGTATATATTTTTCGGAAATAGTCCGTATAAACTATGCTATAAACAAAAAATTGTAGGATTACTTACCGAGTGTGCACCATTCGACATTGCCATTGCTAAAGCTTGTTTTCGTCGCGAAGCAGCACACCAAACCACGGCCGATTTCTAAAAACTTATTTTTCTGCGAAAACTTCGTTGAACTTTGGATACATCATTAATATAAATAATTTTAATCGCCATAAGAAATGTTTCTTTCACAAGAAATGTATAAAATTACAGTACTGTATTAGACTTACGGTACCTAATTTACATACTGCACAGACGATAGTTAGCGTAAAATCTCCGTTGCGTGGCTCCGTTGCTAGACGGCGGAAATTATATATTTAATTATAATAAATTTACAATAAGTTAATATATAATTATATATACAGTATTTAATTTATATATAAGTATATGTACAGTACCTGATTTATATATAATTTATATAATACTGTCCAGACGATAGAAATCTCTCCGTAGCGTGGCGCTACGGACGGCGGGAAAGTAGTTCGGCTTCCCGATGACGTTTTACGTAATTATAGGAGTTTATTTATTTTTTTTTACGGATACCGTCACAAGTTTTTCGCAGTTTTATAGGAATCGTAATTATAGGAAACGTAATTACAGGGGTGTCTACTGTATGTGTATAAATGAGTAATATATTAATAAACAATGACAAGGAATAAATTTTAAAGTAGAATATTCTATTTGTTATTAAAATATTTCGATGACTTGAAATTATCTTTACATGTCATTTTAGACTGAAACACATGACAAATATGTTAGATTAAAATGAGAAAGAATTAATGTAGAATACTTCCAAATTTACTTGCTGGCCAATTTTTTTAGCGCTTGACCCAACCCATTCTACGTGTGATTGAAAATGTCCTCTTAGTAATTACAAGAATACAACATACAAAACGTAAAAAAAATTTTCACATCTATAAGAATAATTCGTGTTTAACGGTCTGTTAATTCAAATAATAAAACAGTTATTAAAACATAAATTTAAAAGAAATTTCACTATATTAACATATATAATTACTGTAACTAATTAACTAAAATGACACTGCACTAAATTTAAATTTAAAAAATTTTATCGTGAAGATCCTTATTCAGAGTTGCGGATACCCAACAACAACGTAGGTAAGCCTCTAAAACATTACGAGATTAGTGCTTTCACGAGTTTTCCTATTATCTTAATTTGTTTAAATATTCGGTACGATCTCAATGCAGATTTTCTTGAATCAATGCGGCTGTATGACGATACCCTGTAAGAAGTGATTAGCATGAATAAATGAAATACTGTTGTATAATTTTAGACTGTACTCGGACGTAAACAAATCAATCGAAAGTTTGGTTATTCTGAATAGTTATACAAAAAATATTTTGGCAAGTTTTTGCTTAAATATGCTTCGAGTATGTGAAATTTAGAACTGGAGCTGGCTTGACTACATTAATATGCCTACTGCAATATTCAGAACCATTAAGCTTAAAAATTCAAAATATGCATGCATGGATAAGGCTACGATAATAAACTAAATATGAAATGTGTCCATTCCGGTGTACCAAAGACGAAAATTAAACTCAAAATTCCAGAGCATTTATTGTTCATGCCATTTTTTAACCTTGTTGTCGGTGATGCAGCATCATTCTGCAAAAAACATTAATATTTTTTAATTGATTTTGAAGTCATTTATGTTAAAATCAAGACTTACTTACGGAATGAGTGGACAATACCAATTTTGATTTATATCTATTCAGTTTATTTAATGAACATTTGTGAAATCGGAAGTCGTAAGTTTCAGCTCACCTTGTGCAGGTTGTATCAAAATATGATACCAAGCCTGGATCCTGCTCACTCTCAGGGGTTATTTTCTAAATTGAGGGGAGACAGGGAAGATCTGTTAAGTCAGGTTCCTGACACCAGTTAGAATTATTAGACGTGTCCCTACTCGCGTTTACATATAAATAGGGCCCCTTTTCCTTAAAAGACCTCCCTGGAGGCATTCCCCCTTGGTAAATCGCCCAGGTGTTGCGTTATCATAATAAAAAAAAATAAATTATTAGGTTTCTAACATAAATCATTAACAGAAATTTTATCAAATAAATGTATTTATCACAAAATCTATAACAAAGTGAGCAATTAGAACAGTATGCATTATCGAAATCAGTTTTATTGAATTTTTGTCACCTGATTTTTGCGCAAAGTAGCACTCCCATATTATATTA